CGGGGCATTGGCCAATGGGGCGCACAGGGGGACTGCGGCATCATGCACGGGCCACTGCGGGTCTCTGCAGTGCATCGCACAACCGTTGCGGGTTGCACGCGGCGTGCACGGCCTGCACACTGTGACTCATTGCCAGCAGGCCCAGCTAAGGCTCGTACCCTGTGGCTATGGCTACTTAACTGATGGTCAGGGATCGGTTAAGGGTCAACGCTCGTTTTTCAAGATTGGATTTTTCGCAATTTCCAAGGAATAAAAACATAGATCCGTAGTGTATTTTCAAAGCTCAATATCTCAGAATTTCAAGGCATCAAAACAAGGCTTCAAGAATTCAACTCTTCTGAAAAAACAAATTCAACAAAACTAAGGCACAAAAGAGAGTTCTCATCTTTACATATTTTCATAAGACCACCAACTAAAATAAAGATTCGAAATTCCTCAAACAAAATTCAATGGATCTTCATTTTCAAAAATAGATCCAAGTCAACGAATTTAATCAATGAACAAAACAAGGAAGAATCTAAAAATCACCTCGCTTCAGGAATCTACAAGCGAGAGAGGTTGAAGATTGGATATTAAACGGGTTGGCACGCCCTCGAATTTCCTTGCACGCGGTGAGACTCGGTTGTTCACGCTCGGACTCGATGTTGAACGAACAGGGTCAAAGGCTCATTGGGCTCGGTGATCTGCGAACAGACCAAAGACGGAGGCTCCTCGTCATGTTGCGGCAGCGTGCGTGTGGTTGTCCTCGGTGAGGCGTGGTTGAGGGCTTGCATGTGGCTTGGTGAGCGACTGGGCTCCTCAGCTGCGGCTACTCATGCCTTGTCGCGGGAGGTGCTGATCGAAAAGTTGAGAGCACATGAGAGATGCTTGAAGGAGTTTTCTTGTGGGAAAAATGGTAAGGCCGAAAGGTGTTTTGAGATTGTAGGTAATACAACTTTTGCTTGGAACTTCTTATGATTGTCGAGAGAAGAAGTAGACTATTAAGAGAGAGAAAAACATAGACTTTAGTCGGTGCATAGCTCCGGATACCATGTGTAATATCCCGACATTTTAAATTATGTTTTAATTCCGATATAATAATATTAACGTTTATTATTTCTGGAATTAATTATTACCAGTTGAGATTATCGAAATTTATTTTCGGCGTACCGTTTACGTCCGGAATAATTTTGGTAATTAAGCATTATGGTTAATTGAATAATTAAGCATAAATTAAGTGATTAATGCTAATTAATCCTACCAATTATGGCAAAAGCCGTGGCCATTTTTGTCCAAATACTCCAAGTAAGCCGTACGGTTTTGCTAGTATTTGGTTATTGTTTGGAGTCATTTCCTTCTCCCTAAGTAAGGGACACTTGGCATGGTAAGAAGTAAAGGAAGAAGATTAGTCATCCAAGCTTAGTTCATGTGGGAGCAAGTGTCCAAGGCTTTGAGGGGCCACGTCCCATGTGCATCATCACCATCTCCCATCGGCCTTAGTATAAAAGGAGGTGTTTGGACGAAATTTTTCCCACTTTTCCCATAAGAGACGATCAGCATCCTCCTCTCAAATCTTTCATTCGCTCAACAAGCTTAAAGAAGGTCACAATCACTCCTCGAGTTTAGTTCTCGCACGGCAAGGTTAGAGTATCGCACAGCACGCACACGAGGACGAAAATCACACCATCTTTCGTTTTCAGACGAGCAATTGAGAGGTATTCTCATCTTTAACCTTCTTTTAGGTTATAAGTTCAATTGACATAAGATTGTTCAACTCCTAACTTGAAAACGTCATGAATGTGTCATAAGAAGCTCGGTTGAGGCCGTTTAGGCCAAGACCGAATTGCTCCCATTTTATACCCACAAGTCCTAAACGTTTATTGTTTCTTTAGCCCTTATTAAGTGTACTACGTTCAGTTAAGTGGAATTTGTTGGGTAAAAACAGAGGTTCGGTCGAGAAATTGGCTTAAAGCCAAGGACCGCACGTGGTGTGCGTGTCACGGCCGCACC